CGCTAGTCCCCCACAGATTACTTCCTATGAGGTTGCTTCCCATGCTTAGAACAAACTGCCACCAGATAGTTATTAGCTGGGCTTGAATTGCTTGGTTCCCCAAAGGCATCAGTCACCAAAGCACATTTTTCTAGTGGCATTGGTGTTCTTCAAGTAAATCAAAATAAAGAGTTTTATCAAAATAGCCAAGAACAAAGAATTAAAAATATGAATTTAAAATAGGATACGTAGTTGGAGTTCAGATCCAAAGAAATGCAAGCACCTAAGCATAAACCAGTCTCTTCATTACTAGAGCTGTTGTTCTTTATTTCGTCTAATCATCCTGGTCCTCCTTAGGCTTGGGGAGAATTAATTGACTCTGAATCTTTTAACCTTCTCAGGTGTGTTCCAAATCGGCTCAGATTTGTCAAGGGCCCTGCTTGGTAGCTTTTCTCCAGCCCTGGTCTCCTGTGTTTAATTAAGGCCCCCCTCCTGATTCCTTACCGCTTCTCAGGAGGTGGCTTGGGTTTCTTCTGGGTTTGTCTCAGCCTTGCTTTCTTGTAGTCTGCAGAGAGAAAGAGTAAACAATTAGAGGAAGGTGTCATGTTTCCAGAATATTCGAAATTTGTGACTGCCTTTTTTTTTTGAACCAGCAGGAGCATTTTCCTCAGCTGATTCTATTTCTCAGCCTCAGCTCTTTGCTGAGTTTGTTGTTACTAATCTCTATTGAAAGGTCCCTCGGCAACCAGGTCCCTGATCAGGTTAGATGGTAAACTGGCTTCTCATGTAGCCTGACTTGGCAAAGCCTGCTCTCTTGCAGGTACAAAGCAGGCCGTCCCAGAACATGGCTTTAAATGTACTTTTAGCCAGTGGTGTCACGGAAACACAGTGACTCCTCTCTCGAGCATCCCTGTGTGCTCAGCATGATCCCAGGGGAAGCAAACACAGAAAGGCACTGAAGGAGCTTGGAGTCACTTAAGGGGGAGCCCCTGGGGAGTAAGATACGAAGCACATGGTCCAAATATCACTGAATTCGAGGAGTTTCCCTGGGTGAGGCAAACGTCCCTGAGTAAATGGAGCCGCTTCCTACAGCTCAAGTCCAGGCTGCAGGCCTAGTTTTCCTGGCAGAGGTCAGGGCAGGGGTGGGTTTCTGCTCCCTCTCGGGTCACAAGTGCTCTTGCTCTTGGGAGGACATGAGAGCTGGGAGGAGACGGTTGGAGTTCAGTAAAACCACAGTGTTGAGTTGATGTCCATCCGCAGATGTGGTGAAAAAGGCCTGGACACCAGGGAGGTCCACTGCTGGGCTCTGCTGCATCCTGGTGTGGGCGTGGGGGTTGGGAGTCACTTTTTGGGGGAGTTCAGCCTGTCCAATCCCGGGTGTTTGGGAAGGAGTTGGAGAAGCCCTTGGTATGAATGGAGTTCTTCCCCTTACTAAAGCTGAACCAAGTTGGTTAACACATTACCCGATGCCGTTCCCATCAAAAGGGCCAAGGTATGCCTCAGTCCCATGGCCACAGATGCACTGAGCGGGGGCGAGGCGGGGGGTCGTGAACACTGCTCATGGGAGGTGTGTAGATAGAAATGGCTAGCCGTTTACTGAGTGCTTGCTGAGAGCCAGGCTCACTGTGAAACCGTTACTTCATTATCTTATTTCTTCAGGCGCTCCTCCTCTGCAGAGCAAGAAAGCCTCATCCCGTTTGGGAACAATCGGGACAGAGAAGAATTTAACCGGGGACAGGGCTTGGGGTCAAGAGGGGCTGTCCTCGGAAGATGACTTACTCCCTCACATTAGAGGCCACCTGGAGAGGAAAGGACCTGCCTCCCAGGCACCCCGCTTTGGGGCCCCCCCACCCAGTGCCAGGGCAGGCAGACTCGCCTCTGGCCCAGGTCGTGTCTGGGTTGCCTTAGCTTCAGCGGGGAGCTGGCTGAGCACTGTGCTGTGCGCTTATCATTACATTGTCTCGTTTTATCCTCACCAGGATTCTGTGAGGGAGGATAGTATTTATGCCCCTATTTTTTTTTTTTTTTTTTCATTGCTTTTTTTTTTTTTTAAATTTTTTTTTGGGTACTGCCTTCACCTAAGACTTCCCTAAGTACTGTTTCTCGGACAGAGTTTGTATTTTATAGCTCTTTCCTTGTAACCTACTGTTACTGAAGCCCTNTTTAGCTGAGCCATCCTGCTACCTATTGGCAGCTTAGCGGCTACTCAGCTCGGGCTGGCCTCGAACCGCTGTTGCTCAGAGCTCAAACTCTTGAGCGAGCTCTTAACCAACTGAGCCATTCGGCCGGCCCTTATGCCCCTATTTTATAGATGAGGACACAGAGGCACAAAAGGGTAAAGATTTGCCCACAATCCCACAGCTAGGGGCTGACAGAGCAGAGTTCTCCCCCTGCTCAATCTTAGCCTCCCCACTATGGCGACCTGCCAAGGTTCTGACTCAGTCTACATCGTTCTATCCGTTGGCTTCCCAGTTGGGTGACTGGGATCATTGAGAATCTTAGTGTTAAGAGGGTCTGAAGAACTGTGGAAAGGTGTCCGATCCTGCAAAATTGATCAATAAACAGACAAAAACAGAAAACAAGCCATCTGCACTGTAGATTGTATAAGTCGGCTCGGCCTGCCATAACAGAATAACCACAGACTGGGTGGCTTCAATAACAGAAATTGATATTGTCACAACTCTGGAGGCTGGAAGTCCGAGATCAAGGTGCCAGCAAGGTAGATGCCTGGTGAAAATCGCAGACTGGTGCTTTTGCATTGAATCCTCACGTGGCTTTTACTCTGTTTGCACACGTGCCTGGTGTCTCTTCCTCTTCTTGTAAGGACACACATCCTGTTGGATTAGGGCCCCACCTTTATTACCTTACTTAACTTCAATCACCCCCTTAAAGGCCCACTCTCCAAATATACCACATTAGGGGCTGGGGCTTCAACATATGAATTTTGAGGAGAGACAATTCAGTCTCAACATAGATTATTCAAAGCTATTGTGTCCTTCCTACAGCAGCCCCCACAGCATGGGCCATAGTCTGCTGAGTCCCAGGTGTCCCCTCTCTGCAAGACTTCGGGTGCAGAGACTGCTCCCTGGAAGTTATATCAATGAGAGACCACTGCTCCACTGAGAATTCAATGAAGGTTTTTTATAGAACATTACAGACTCCTGCAGTGCTATAAACTCAACATTTACATGCAATTTTCACTTCAGCTAAAGCTTTACATTTACTCTCGGCACAAGGACTAAAGCCATAGTGCCCTGTCTGGTAAAAGTTTCTATTAATATTACATTTTTCTTTAAGAGTCCTCATAGCTGTCTAAGGTTCTAGAGGGCTATGAGCTTCCCATGTACAAAACTGATTCCTCGGATCCTATCCCTGGAATGGTGTTTCCAGTGAAAGGAATGGCTTCACAAGAAGCCATGCAAACCTTGGTAAAGTAGCGCTAAACACACACACACACACACACACACACACACACACACACACACACCCTGATGTGTAGAGTTTGCCACTTTCCATGGTGTAAATATCCCACCATAATAGCCTTCAAGCTACCAATGGTTTAAAAACTGGCTCACAGAGTTCCTGAATATTCTACATTAGGTTCTCATACACCAGGATGAGTCTGTCCAGCACACCACTACTTGTCCCGATCATGGTCACAGGAGGCATTTAGCAGATTTTAATCTGGATCAGAGAGATCGTGATCAAAATGAGGTTGACTGGCCCCTGCCGGACTGAATCCCACAGTCTCATTTCCATTCTCAGCATACTGTAAACCCTTGAGCACACATCCAAGTCCATCTAACACATACTTCTGTTAAACCTTCCTAACTTGAAAGAATCGCCCACTTGCTGGAGATCAGCCATCCCACCGGCCGTGGGAAATCCCATAGGGAATTGTCAAGAGTTACACGGCAAAGTCAGAAGTTAATCAAGAGCAAATCAGGGTCAGATGGATGGCAGGTGTCAAAGCTGCCCAAGCCTGTGGTGCTTTGCCTGGAACTGACATCTCTCTATTTTCCATTCAACCAAGGCTGTGGAGGCCTCAACCAGGGTTCCCTTCCTGACCTACTACTGATGACAGGGTGGTCACTGTCTCCTTGGGCCCCAAGTGACAGCCAGTACTCCACGTGTGAATATGACCAGGGAGCTTCCATCCCGCAGGCAGAATTGAGGGGCTCCAGGGAGCAGGCCATTGAATGTTCCTAATTCTAAGTTCATGGCCAAGATGTGGCATTTCAGAGGGAAACAGATCTGGGGGTAGACCCTGGAGAACACTGGGTTTGGAGGTAACATACTTTCAAATGAAATCTAAGCAGCAAGCTTTGGCCCTGGAATGTGCTGGCTTCCAGAGTGACCAGTGGGGGGCATGCAAGGGGCAGGGGGGTGGAGATGGCTCCCCTACTGCCTTCCTGGGCAGTGTCCCTGCTGCTATCAAGCCAGGCTTGGTGGGGAGGGAGGAAGATGTGGTGGGGAGCGGGAGGAGGTAAAGGGCCCCTCAATCTCCCCTGTGCCAGGCACATTCTCCTCCTTTCTTCCTTCCTCTGTAAGTTGCTCTCCAGGTTATTCCCCCTGGGTCCCGGTGAGCCAGCTGAAGTGGGTGCGAAAATACTAATAAGCTGATTTAAGGGGAGAGTTTACCTCATTGGACCTTTGGAAAAAAACCTCAGCTGGTACTTTGCTTGATAGGATAACAAGCTTCAGCGGAACTAACCCATTCCACTGCCATATTCTTAAGGTATTAATAAGCTGAAGTTATCAATAATCACTCCTCTAGGGCTGGCTGAGTGGCTCAGTTGTTTGAGTTTGCTTAAGAGCACGAGCTCTGAGCAACAGGGTCGCTGGTTTGATTCCCACATGGGTCAGTGAGCTGCGCCTGAGCTGAGCTGCCGCTGAGCTGCCAACAGGTGGCAGGATGGCTCAGCTGGTGAGAGCACGTGCTCCTAATGACAAGATTGCCTGCTGGATGGTGAGCTATGCCCACCTGTGGCTGGGACTGAACTCAGAACTGCCCGGATGGCTCAGTGGATAGAGCGTGTGCTCAGCAAGGCTGCCGGTTCAACTCCCGCATGAAAAAAAAAATCACTCCTCTAAGTGGAGTCCGCCTTTCCTCCGGCAATAGAAAGACTGAATTGTAAATGGTATCCGTGGGCCCTCCTCTCTTTCTAGAGCTTCTCTGAGCTCAGGGAGGGTGAGCTCAGATGGCTTCACATGTCCACTTACCCTTGGGTCCCTGGCCAGGGTATGGTGACATTTGAAACATCAATAATAAATTATCCTTTCTCTTATATGCTTATGATCTCTATTTATTCATGGGCCTATTTTAAGGAATATGTGAAATTAAAATAATTATAATGGAACATCTACTATGTGCCAAATCCTGTGTTAAGTATTTTATCAATACTATTTCCAAACCTGATAACAACATCATGAGATAGGACTCATAACTACCATTTTATAGACGAAGAAGTTGAGACCCAGAGAAGTTACAAATTGCCCAAGGTCAGTAACTGTTAAGAGTCCAGCCTTGGTCTTTTTGACTCTAAAGCTCACATCTCCCCCACTGTGTTACCATGCTATGTAACACTGTGCATCAGTCAGCACAAAATTATTGTAGGTTGTGCTGTAGTAACGAGTGACCCCCCAAAATCTTAGTGGCTTATAGCAACCAAGTTGTCCTTCATCCTCACTGTGCTGTGGTATTCACATGCATCACAGTTGACTGGGGCTCTGCTCCATCAAGCCCCTGAACTCAGGCTTATGATAGAACAGCCACTGGGCTGTTACCAGTTCCCGCGGTAGAGGGAGAGGAAACTCTGGGGGATCTAAAGCTAGTGATTCAATCCCCTGGCACTGAATTGGCACACGTCGCTTCTGTTCACAACTCACTGGCCAAAATATTACATGACTATTCCAAACCACAAAGCGGGGAAAGTGGGGTCCCACTGGAGAGTTGAGAATAGAAATGACGAGTAGCATTCGAACCTGCCTTCAAGTGCCTGGCACAGGACTTGGCTCCTAAGTGCTCAATAAACGCTATTTCATGCCCCCTCCTCTTCCTCAACTATGAACAAATTATGGTGAAATAATGTTTTTTGGGATCAAGAGACAGGCATAATGACAGCCCCTTCATTTTGTACCCTGTTCAATACCTTCTTTCTCCATTGGCTTGCGGCTGGATCACAGGAGGCTGGCAGCGGTCCACACTTGGATCAGATTGTTCCAGGGTCTCTGTCAATCATCCTCAAATGCCATGTTGTAGGTGACATTCACAAGCACGACTCATGACACCCTCCCATGGGCATCCCCAGTAGGCTCGGGGTGACAGGCAGTCCTGGCTGGCGGGTGTAACTCCACCCCTTCTTTTTCTTCTGTGCAGGGAGGCATATTGGATTGCAAGTGAGTGACAGGGCATTGTAACAGGGATATGCTGAGTCTGTTCTAATTGATAAAAAGTTCACCCATCATTTGAAATCCTCAATAGTTTCTTGTTGATAGTACAGTGCCTAGGACACACCTGATAATGGCTCCAGACATGCGGCATGTCTGGACACCACTGTGGAGGAACTGCGGCTCAAGATGATGCCAGAGAAGCCAGTTATAAAATGAAACATTGTGCCAGTTAATGGGTGGTTTTATCTACATTGTGCCAAAGAATTGGTGGGGGAGAACATTTTGTCCACGCTAACTGGACTGGCTAGTGGTCCTGGCATTGTGCAGATCCAGCCTGGGTATTAAGAATGTGAGCAGAATCTCAGAATGTTAGGCTTGAAAGCATCCCCGAGGACATTTTCCATACATTCCTGTCATGTGACAGATAAGGAAATGAAGACACAGGTGCGTTAAACGATTGGCTCGGGGACATGCAACACAGTGGTTATTCTTTTAGGAGAAGGGCAAATGCAGGCACATCTTCACCCACAGCATTTTTAACATTTTCTGTAGCTATTTCAGAATCCAGAGGCTCAACAGAATGGCACTGCATACTTTCCAAAAGTAGACAAGAATTTGAGAAACACCCTATGGTGCAATGGTTTGTTGCTTAAACTTGCTGCTGACTCATTTGCTTGCCATCAACATGGCCGTGGCATCCCGTCACTGACATTGGCTCTTTTCCCCAACGGGCCCCATCCTCCCGGCTAGGCTGGGAATGCAGTGACGCCAGCCTCATTCGTCCTCGTTGGCTCCGAGCGGGGCTCGGAGGTGAGGTCTCTGCTGGGACACCCCTGGCACATGGGTAGGCCTCCTGTCCTCCAGCCTGAAGTAAGTCACCTGTGGCCCATGAGGTCAGACTGTTCAGGGCCAAAAAGAGGCTGCGGAACAACGAAGCCAAGGGTTTCAGGCTGCATAGTTTTGAGAAAGGACAAACAATCAACGCCTGCTAGCAATAGTTAAGGTGTTTGGGGGGAAAAAAATGTCCTATCCAAAAATCATCCTCAGATCAGGGCCCTAATCCCACTTGACTGTGAACTGTACTTTTTCATCCACTTTGGGTTCTTGCCTCTTGAAATGTCTTTAGTTTGAGACAGGCGATTTGGTGGTGGGCCTTTTCACATGCCCCCCTTTCTCAAGTCCATTTCAGAAGGCTCCTTGCTTCAGAACCTAGGAAGGAGCTCAGAGCAATTCTGCATGGTCCTAGGGCAGGGTCAGTGGCCAAGCTCTAGGTTGTCCATGGTCACTGCCTAATCTAGGATTTTGGCAGCTCTCCCGGCCCCACAGGGCCAGATGCAGGAGGCAGCCCTTGGCATGGACAGAGAGCTCTCAGGCTCAGGGCCAAAAAGTCAGCCCTTTCCCCCAGATGGAGCGCATGGGACTTTCCCTCTCCCGCCAGTTTAAGTGGCTTAGAGAAGTGTTTCGAGTTTGGTTGGGTAGGGGAGCTGAGAAGATGGAGCTGGGTGCCATTCTGGGACAACTCTTCCCCTAACCCACACTAAAGAAGAGAGGAGGAGGAAAGAGACGCAAGCATGAGAGGAATTCTGGGTCACCCTGGCTCTCTCCTTCTCTCCTTTTGATGCACTGTTGAAAAGTCGTTGTGGAAAGTCTTGCCGTTTCCAGCCTTTCTTCTTGCTGGCTTTGGTACAAAGTCACAGACACAGACATGGACGCAGAGTCACAGACACACACCGTGCACACCACTCCACCTTATAACACACACACTGGTCATTCCTTCTTGGCCACTAGGTTCAGATCCCGGAAAACCTTACTGGTAGAAGCATTCATGGCTGAAGAATTGAAGGCTTTAAGGGTAAGCAGAGTTAGAAGAAAGGTCAGGAAGGAACTAGAGAAAACCCTCATAACTGGTTTACAGTCAGGAAAGAACACAACCCAAGTGCACCCTGAATAAAGGATGCTTTAGGACATATCAGACCCACGCTGGTGGAAATAAGACCTGGTTCAGCCCAGCTAGGGAGCAGTTTGGCAACATGTATATGGCCGGACATGCGCTCTTTCAAGGACGGGCAACCCTACTTCTTGGCTACACGCTAGAGAAGCAAGCTCAAGATTGTTCACTGCAGAGTCATTCATGACAGTGAAAAACTGGAAACAACTTAAATGTCATCGGTAGATGAATGGATGAATTGTGATCCATTTGTACAGTTTAACGTCATTTATCAGTTAAATTGAATGGGCTGAGTCTCTACCCATCAACGTGAGGAGACCTCAGAAACAGTTTTAGGAGAAAACCAGCAAATGCCAGAGGAACACCACTTATGTAAATGAAGAAACACTCAAAGCACTGTGCTGGTATAATTTATGAGTCATTCATATGTGGTGAAGTATGAACACATGTATGAAGAGAATATCAACCCATTTCAGGAGAGCTGCTGCATTTTGGAGGGAGGAAAGGGGGTATAAAGGCTCTTCACCGAGTCTGTAAGGTTTCATTTAAAAATAATGATCATCTGACAAAAGTATGGCAAAACGTTAACATTTGCTATTTCTGGTGGTGGGGACAAAGCTTTCATTATATTACTCCTTGTATTTTTCTGTATGTTGGAAATATTTCAAAATTGGACAAAGGAAAGAAAATCGCCATGGCATTTTGGTACAAATTTATGCGAGCAGTCACGGGTACGGAACTGCGATTTTCCATTTTCATCTTGTTCCTGAAAGGAACTTTGCAGGATCTTCCTTCCTTGTGTCTCCAATGAAATGCTTGTAAATGTGCTTTTTTGTTGTTGCAGAAACAGCATCGAAAAAAGCATTTTTTCTAGCCAGTTAGTCTGTGCTTTCCTGAGCTCGTGACTCAGAGTAATTGACTTTGTCTCTCTCATCCAGATACCTGGAAAAACCAAACACCAAGCAGGTTGCAGCCAACCCCTCAGCACTTCTTCCCAGTCCCTGGATGGAACTGTGGGGGGGGGCTGCCCCCTCTGCCTGGAGGGAAGGCCCCAGGCTCTGGTTTACTTTTTCTCTCCTTTCTTTCCCAAAGGCTGTTTGCAAAACCCTGCTCCTTGGCCACCCAAACACCTCTCTTTTCTATCCCAGCCCTTAGATACCTCTCTTTCTAGTGACTGCCCCAGTGCTGACCCACTAGAACAGGGGTTCTTAAGCTTGAGTGTGAATCGGAATCACCTGAAAAGCTTATTAAAACACATTGCTGGGCCCCACCTCCAGAGCTTCTGACTCAAGAGGTCTCGGTGGGGCCTGCTGATGTGCTGGAAACTGTTCTCCGAAAGAAAAATTAGCACTGATTTGTAGCGTTTGGCAATTTCCACGATTTCAAGCCCCCGACCCGACTGTCACTAAAGGTGGAGTTGCAGTGGGGCTGGGTACAGCTGGCTCCCTCGAGGGGATATAAACGATCTCAGCACCCCCTTGGCACTGGAACCTGAGAATGTGCGTTTCTAATCACATCTCAGGAGATGCTGAACCTGCTGGTCCAGGGACCAGAACCACTGTCCTGGAAGGCTGGGTTGTGAGGGGGATTCCTGGATGGGAAGAATGACCCTGCAACCTTGACCTTCAAAAGCCCACTTCCTGAAAAGGACCCAAGATGGAGACTTCTTGCTCTAACAGTAAAGGCAGCTCATGTCCTGGGGACTAACATGGGCTCTGCTGTAGAGAAGACAAGCCAAGGTCCCCCTGAGGTGGTGTGCTGGTCCCTCTCCTGAAAGCCCCCCACCCCTTCCACAGACCACCAACCATGCTGCTCGCACCTCCTGCCCCTACCTCCCACCTTCCCAGCCCCAGGCCCTGCGTCCAAGGAGCACAGCTCTGCAGGAAGGGAACACACCAACGCCTAGGTCTCTCCAAGGAAAGAGCCATGTCTGAGGGCGTCACTCGCGGAACGAGGCAGAGATGCTGGGCAAGAACGAAGGGAAGGGGATGGGAAAGGAGACATGAGAGAAGGAAAGGACAGAAAGGGAGGGTGGGAGGGAAGACGGAGTCTGAAACAGAGAGGCTGCGGGTGGGGCTCAGAAGCTTCCAGGGCACTTAGGTTGTACCCCAGATTAGGCAAAAATGAAAGTACCAGATGACAAACACCTGTTCCCCTACTAGTGACATAACAGTTCCCTCTGAGAGCGCTCTAGGCTCCGACTATCACTTCCCCAGGCCCAGCCCAGATAAGGCCACCTCTGGGAAGGACAGAGGAGGCTCTGTGGGCTCTGCTGGGATGGAAAGACCATCCCCCGGGAGGAGGTAGGATTCACTTGCGGCGCAGTGTTGCCATACACACCTGTGATATTATCGAGTTGGTATATAGGATCATATGTCATCTCGACTATAATAACTCCAGGTGCGTTTGACATTTCTATTCAAATTGCACTTTGGGGAAACCTATAGGCTTTCATTGCTGGTAATTTCTCTTGACTCCCAGAGCCTGGCATTCCCATCTCAGCCTGCCTCCTGCCTCACCTGGCATGCCCACAAGCTCCTCTGCACCCTTACAGCTCCCGCCCTCAAGCAAAGCTGCTGGGACCAGTCCTAACTCGCGTGGGAGGTGGGCCTGGGGGGGAGGGGAGCACATGGTAGCTGAGAGAAGGAATCCAGCACATTCCACTCATGTCACAGACGCAGAGGCCCAGGGAAGGAAGGAGACTGGTACAAGGCCACTGCATCAGCTTGGCCCAGTGTGGATCACAGCACCTTGCCTAGGTGCTGCCGGGGCACCTTGAACAGTCAGGGAGGGGGACATCAGGCACCTGGAGGGACTTCCCACTTTGCCGTGCACTCCCCACCCCCCCATCTCCCCTTCCTTTCTAGGCCTCTCTTCACCCTGTCTGTGCCACCTCCGTCCCTCTTCTCTTCCTCCTGGGGCCTTGTTGACTTGCTTCAACCCTCAGTGCTGGCCACACGAACCTGGGCTCTCCGCACACCTCGGGTCTGTTTGGGTGGGTCAGGGAGGGGGCATGGCTGGGTTCAGTCAGCCGACTCATTGCCAAATGGAAACACACACAAAATGCAGAAAGACACAGCCACACACGGGCAACCAAGCAGAACCCTCCCCAGAGCCGGCACCCTTAGACTTGGGGTGGGGGCCTTCCTTTCTGTAGTGGTGACTGTTCCTTGTCCCGACAATGGCTACTCTTCATGCTCCTGCAAGGCCAGCATTCTTATCCCACTTTACAGACGGGGACACTGAAGCGCAGAGCAAAGGACTTCCCTGAGGTCCCACAGTACAGGGAGGGCGTGAGTGAGGTTTGAATCTAGACCTGATTGACTCTGAAGGTCAGGCTCTTTCCATTAACATCAGAAACAAGCCTTTTCTGAGTGATGTCCTCCCTGGCCCCCTCCCTTTCCTGGGAATAGTTTCCCTAGAGCGCCAGGGATTTCAGCTGCTTCAGGGGCTCAAGGGAAGGGCTGGGGACAGTCAGATGCTTGGGACGTGGACCCAGAGCCTAGTCTGAAAGGTGGCCTGGACCCAGGATTGCAGCCTGGGGGGCAGACACCCTCCTGAGGGGCACCTTCCCTCAGGCAACCTTCCCCTCCCACCTCTGGCCCTGAGCTCTCTCCAGCTGCTCCCCAGCGCTCCTCTCAGGCTTTGCGCCCCTCAGGAACACCCCTCACCGAAACTCTGGTCCCGCTAGGAAGATCTGCAGGCCGTGCCCTCCAAGGACAGTGCAGCACAGCGCTGGGCTCAGCCCTCGGGGAGTGACCCGTGAATGAAGCGCTTCGGAGGCTGTGGGGTGCACTACCCGACTACGGCCACACGGTGCCACCCTTGCGCTGCATGCGCAAACCCCACCCCAATGCCGGCGAGCGAGCAGGTGGCTTAGCAAGACCTGCTTTGCAGCTGGGTGGTTGGGGTGTCCTGGTAGCTGCAGGGGCAGGAGCTCCTGCAGACATTAGTCAGCCCCTCGGCCTTTGTCACCATCCTGCCTCTCCCACTGATGTCTGGCTGCATCCAGGTGGGGGCTCCGTTTACTTCACACATCTACAGTGATTGCTTCCAGCCCTCCTTTCTGAACCCCCAGTGAACCTCACCCCACTCGGGATCCTTCAGCACCTCTGCACTCTGTGGGCCACATACCAGCACTAGCGGCTTCTGCAGGGGCAGGAACCTTCTCACTGCTTTCCTTTTTGCAGGCCGTGGCTCTGGTGCAGCTTGTAACAGGTAATAGGCTTGGGGAGGCCTGACACCACGCCCCCACCTTGGGCTGGGCTGCTCAGGCCCAGCAGCCATCCAGGGCCACGCGGGAGGATTCCAGATAAGGAGGGGTGCTGGAGCCCGTCCTTTCCTGGGCAGAGAGCATTAAGGTGCATGGGACCCCTCTCAGTGGTAGAAAATGAGAGGGAGACCGGTGTGGCCATCCCTGACCTGCTGTGCTCACTGCAGCTCTGGAAGCCAATTCCAGGCCTGTCTGTATATGTATCCATGAGGGTGAGGGAAGGCACGATGCCTTGAGTGACAGTCCTGCCAGAAGTGCCTCCGGGGTGGGAAAGGTAATTCCCCAAAAGGAGCCCAGAGGGAGGCTGTCTGCAGATAGAAGACAGAAGACCTGGGGCCAAGCCACCAACACGAGGCCCAGCACATCTTTAATTGAGCCACTGCTGTTTCCTTCTCACCTTGTGGGCTCTCCCATTAGACACTGCACACCAGTAAATGATGAACAGGCACAGAGAGATGCAGCCCGTGCCCTAGCGCTGTTCAGCAGCTCTAAGGCAAAGCCAGGCTGACGGCTCCACTCCTCATCCCTGGGTGTGAGGTGTGACTCACCTGGAGCCCTCCAGGTGTCTCTCCCGTAGACCAGGCCTCCCGCAGATACTTTTTGGGGTAAGGGCTTCCTGACTACTGTTGAGAGGAACAGCAAGCCCAGACCGCAAAAAGATCCAAAGGAGACAGCAGCCCTCCTTGGGCAGGAAGGAAGGTGCACCCCTCCAGGGCTGGCTTCCAGGGGCCAGGGCCTCAGGAGAGGGGAGCGGAAGAGGGGGCCCGGAGCCCCAAGAAGCAGGCAGGCAGCAGGAATCCGGTGTAACCACGCCCTCCACCCATCACAAGGTCATTCTTACCTGGTCCTCTTTGGTCCATTTTGTAGGGGAGGCCGGCAGAGTGGGGGAAACTGTAGTTCACGCCTAGTCAAGGGGCTATTTGAATTCGCATGTCTCCCCTTCATGGTCCACAGCTCCCTGTTCTCTTTGACCTGGGAGTATCTTAGTCTCCTGCTGTGATTGGAGTCCAGTCGGACAGTCTGGTTTTGGGTGGAGGTCTTCATGCGGCCTCTGTGCTTGCTGGGGTGGGGGGCTGGGCCCACACGGACCTAAGCACCATCCTTGGTTCCACAGCGGAGTCAGCACACCCAGGTCCCATTGGAGACTCTCCCAGTCACAAAACGTCAAGAACACCAAGAAGATGTGATTGGACCAGACCTCTGGGGACAGACACCTTTGAACTTGTAGTCGAGGGCCTCTGGTCTGTTCTGACAATGCCCTCTGTTTTCTGCAGATAAAATTGTTATGGAAAAGGCAGGGGTCAAGGACAAGGTGGGCTTAGCCTCATGAAACCTCTCTTGCTCACGTCAAATGAGCCGCTTCACAAAGGTGGCAGCTAAGGCCCCGTGTCTCAGTGGCCTCCTGCTTCCGTAACGGAGAAGTCAGCAAAGCTCCCCAGGGTACCTGACTAGCCCGGCCCAGGTCTACCTGCCTTACCTGGAGGACCCTCCGGAGGTCACAGCCCAGAGNCCGCTGTTGCTCAGAGCTCAAACTCTTGAGCGAGCTCTTAACCAACTGAGCCACTCGGCCGGCCCTTAACCTCTCTTGCTCACGTCAAATGAGCCGCTTCACAAAGGTGGCAGCTAAGGCCCCGTGTCTCAGTGGCCTCCTGCTTCCGTAACGGGGAAGTCAGCAAAGCTCCCCAGGGTACCTGACTAGCCCGGCCCAGGTCTACCTGCCTTACCTGGAGGACCCTCCGGAGGTCACAGCCCAGAGGAGTGAAGTCGTAGATCGGTCAACGTTGCAGGTCTGCGGAACGGATGGCTCCGCCTGCTGTCCGCTGCGGAGCTCAGGGTAGGATGGTTTGTCCTGTGATTTTCCTGAATGAGCGGAACAGCATTCGGGTCCTGCTGGAGAGAGTGGGCCCTCGCTCTTACCCCACTGCCAACACAGGCGTGTTAGCAAGGGCCGCCTAGAGACGCTGGCCCTGCTCTGTCGGCTGGTCCAGGGGAGAGGCCAGAATGCGGGACCATAGGTGACAGTGTGTGGCCACAGGGCAGGCTGCAGCGGAGAGCACAGGGCAGCAGAGGCCCTCAGGATGTCCGTGGGGGACAGGTGGCCACGCTGCCCCCACCCAGGTGGGCCTGGGCTTCACAGGAGCTCAGGGCCTGAGCTTATTTTCTCAGGAGGAAGAGGAGGAAGCCCATTTCTGCCCAGGGAGCAGGCCTCTGTTTCCTAAATGCTCATCCCCCAGCCTGGGGAACCTGTACCGGGTGGTGACTCCAGGTGGTGGGCAGCTGCATCGTGAAGATGGGCCTGCTGCCTGCTTCAGGGGCTTCAGGAGGGGAGAGTCACCTGCAGCTGCTGCCAGGGCCCTGCTAGGGTCACCCCACCAGGATGGTTCCTGGGGACCTCTCGGGGCTCCATTCCCACATGCCCTGCCTGCCTCTCTTCCCTGGCTGTGGCCTGGGCCAGAACCAGCATGGGACAACATTGGGGGAGGCACACTTGGTGGGTTTGAGCTCAGCCACACAGGCCTTGGTGCCTGGACCCCGAGGCAGGGCTGGTGAGGGACCCTCCCCACTTGCACAGGGCCCCCCAACTGTCCCCTCCATCCCCTGTGCTCTCTTTGACATCAGCATGGCCTCCTCTGCCAAGGCTCCTCCCTCTGACATCTTCATTCCCTGCAAATCAGCACAGTGCTGCTCGCTTTTCCTCACAGACCCCAGGGAGTAGGTACTATTTCCATCCTTCTCCTGGGGAGGAAGCTGAGACGTCCTCGTCCTCGACCATCGCTGACAGCCCCTCTCTGGCCCTCCCCACACTTTTGCTGTCTCCCATTCCCTGTCTAGGGGTGTTTCTGTTGCCTTTCAATCTCAGGCAAAGTTCTAGTTCCACTACCTAAAAGTGGGTATTTGACCTCTCTGTACCTTAGTTTCCTCATCTCTAAAGAGGGCAGCATAGCCTGTGTCTGGGTCAAACAGAAATGTCGTGTGCTCCTGCTACCAAGTCTACCCACCTGTACACACCCTCACCCACCCACCTGTCCACACCTGCACTCACCCGCACCCATCTACCTGCACCTACCCGTATCCACCCACCTGTACACACCTGCACTCACCCACACCCACTGACCTGTACCCACCTGCACCCATGCACCTGTACCCACCTGCATCCACCTACCTGTACATACCTGCACCCACCCACCTGTACACACCTGCACCCACCTACCTGTACATATCTGCACCCACCCACCTGCACCCACCTGCATCCACCTACCTGTACATACCTGCACCCACCCACCTGTACACACCTGCACCCACCTACCTGTACATATCTGCACCCACCCACCTGCACCCACCTGCATCCACCTACCTGTACATACCTGCACCCACCCACCTGTACACACCTGCACCCACCTACCTGTACATATCTGCACCCACCCACCTGCACCCACCTGCACCCCTGGACCGCTTCCCCTTCTGATCCACAGTGAACAGTCCTGCTCTGATCTAAGGCCCACCCCTCCTCTGTACCTGGGTCCCACCCCTCCCACCACCTCCCGGACATGAGCCAGCAAGCACCCGCTCTCTCCTGAACAGTCAGTCCTCCCTCCCATCACCCACCCTAATAAAAACCCTGCCCTGGCCGCCAAGCTAAAGGGCTCCAGCGGTTGCCCATCTTGCAGGCAAAACTCAAGTCAATTTGCTACTCCTCTCGCCTCTGTCCCACTCTCTCCTGAACCCCCTGCAGTCCCTTTGGTCCCCAAGACTACGCCTATCAAGGTCACCATGATGTCTGTGCTGCTGAGTCCAGTGGTTGGTTCTTAAAATTCGTCTCACTCAGCCTGTCAGCAGCCTTGGACGCAGGTGGTCACCCCGTGCTCATTTCCATCGGCCCCAGGACTGCAGTCCCCCTCGTCCCCTCCTCCCCACTGGCTTCTCCTTCCCTCCTTTGAGGGCTGCAGCCCAGTGCTGGCCACTCCTCATCTCCGGGACCTTGCAGCAACGTGGTTGCAGCCCTGGTGCCTCCTCTCCACTCCCTCTGCACTCAGCCCTGGGTGGTCTCATCCAAGTCAATGTGATAGCCTGTCTGCACCCCCATTTCTGGTCTGCCCCAGCTTCTACCCTTAAAGGCCTCTCTGATTCCGACTCCTTGAGCCCCTCCCCCACCAGGATTGGCCCAGCTGTTTTGATCCTGGCCCCTCACCCCTCTGGTAATAAGCTGTGTACTTTGCCAGGACGCTCACCGTCCCAATGTCCCTCCTGGGGTTTGGCAAAGCATGACAAATGAGATGGTACACGGGAAGAGGTCCTCAGCTGCCCGCCCCTGCTCCAGCTCCGAGGACCAGGTTCTCAGAAGTGCTTTCCTCAGGCTACTCCCTGCTGATGGGAGGAGTGAGGGACCCATGTAACATCTCTGATCTAGTGGGGCACAGCTTGGGGAGGCTGGAGGTCCCTCTGTCCCCCCAGCACTTCCGCCTGGCACCTTGACTGCCCAGACAGACCCCCACACTGTCCCTCATCCGAGCCCAAACCCAGGCCCTTTGCTTGTCCCGAGGAGGCCGTCCCTCCCTCCCCCAGGATTCTCTCCTCTCCATCTCCCAGGTCATCTTCACCATCCCCCGCCTTCGCTTTTTCCCTGTCTGAACCCCTCCCAGCTCAGCCTCCATCAGTTCCACCTCCTTCATGGGACTTCGCTTGGATTTCTTAACCCTGTTCCTGAATCCCCGTAGCATGTTCCTCTGCACCCTCAGCTGTTTACTTGGCAGATGTTAACTGAGTGCCTGCCACACGCCGAGCCCTGTGCCGGGTGCTGGAATGCCAAGATGAGTCTGCCACAGACACTGCCCTCCACGAGCCCCTGCTTCGAAGGGAAGTGTAGATATGGCCCCCTGGATGCCATGAGCCCCTCAGACAAAACCCACCCTGCACTGAGCTCATCTGCCTCCCCAGGGAGCCCAATCCCCCTCCTGGGAGCACCTCTGCCAATGGCACCAGCACAAACAATAACGGGCAAGGCAGGCCTTGATGGGTGCTGGAGAAGTGCTGCAGGGGGGCCCAGGAAAAGGGAGACTCTTCCAGGCTGGGTGGGGGTGAGGATGAGGAGGCCTTGTTGAGAGCTGCACTGGGCAAAGTGGGAGAGGTTTGAACTTCTGGGACCGGGAGGCAGAGAGAAAGAAAGGCAGAGCAAAGGATCCCAGTGGAAACCTGCTAGGGTGTGGGGGCACGGGTTTCTAGGAGCAGGAAGGGGAGAAGTGAGAAACGGTGAGAGTCTACTGCCAAAGCTTGGCCTCTGGTGCCAGGCTGAAGGTCTGCATTTCCTCCAGCGAGCAGGGAGCAACCTCTGAAGGTTTCTGAGCTGGAAAAATTTGTGAAGTTGACTGCAGGAGGGAGAGGCTGTGGTTGGGCGGGAGGAAGTTAGAGGCTTTGCCACAATTCTGATTAGAGGTAATGGGGGGATCTGACCTAGAAAGATGGAAAGAGGGCACTGACGCAGCGAATTTAGGAGGATGTGATAGACAGGAGAGAACAGTGTGTAGGCCGTCAGGGAGGCCCTAAAGGCGAGAACAGGGGGGCAAACGCAGGTGGGACCACATACAACCGACAGTCCAATTTAATAAACAGGTGTGGAAGACCTACCACATACGAGGCCGCTTTCAGCTCTCATGGTGGAGGATTTGAGAGTGACCATATGTGAAGGGCCGAAGGGACAGAGGGAGGCAGAAATCAAAGCTGGAGGCTGCCAGCAGAGTAGAAACGAAACGGGCAGAAGGGCGGCATGCCCGCGGACACTTTCACTGGCTCCAGGCCTGTGTGTGCAGGCCCCGCTGGCACTGTCCCAGCCGCCCTGGCAGGGTGGAGGGGAGTCAGCAGGACATGCACGCAGAAGTGCAACCAGGCAGCCTGGCAGCACAGGCTGTGCAGGGCAGGTTGGACTGGGTGGTGGGCGGGGTCTCCTGAGACGGACGGGTCTGGGACCCCAGCACTGGAGCAGGGGAACTCAGCAAAGGTCCCAGAGGGGCACCGCCCAGCAGTGGACACCTGGCACAGGCAGAGCCCCTGGGTTCCCGTCCTGGCTCTGCCAACGGGCTGGGCGACCCTGAGGGTCTCACTGCCCCTCTCTGAAAGGCCAGCACTAATGCGTTTTATGTATCAAACGGGAGCGTTTCAGACATACAAAGGAGAGGGTGCCACCACCTCAGTGAGCGGAGCCTCCACCCTTCCCCTGGCTGCTTTGCCCAAGAAGCCACCTCATTTCTAACACATCTGAAGTTCAAAGTTCTGAATGTATTTTGAACCCCTGCACGTGCTCCTCCCATCCCACTGCCCCAGCATATAGAAGACACCCCGGCCCTCACCGGCAACCTTGTACCACAGTAGCCTCCTACCTGGTCATTCCATACCCATTTGCCCCTCTGCAGCCACAATAATTTAAAAAAAAAATGCAAATCTGCTCATGTCCCTCCCCTGCTTTAAAAAAAATCCTTAAATGGTTTCTTATCACGCTTAAAATTAAATCCACGCATGATCACCTGCCCCTGCCTAGCTCCCTGGGCTCCTCCGATGTCAATCTTTCCTGACCTCCTGATTCTCCAGCCACTCCGGCATTCTTCCAGCTCTCGAACATGCCAACCTTGCCTCGGGACCTTTGCCCTTGCCATCCCCTCTGCCAGGAATGCCATCCTTTTCCGCTCCACCTGGGTAACTCCCTTTCAGCCTGCAGCACGGGGCTTCATGATCACTCCCTCCAGGAGGCCTCCCCTGAGCACCCAAGTGAAATCCACTCTGTTAGTCTGTTGCATAGCACCCTGTGCGTCTTCCCAGCACGTCATCTCCTTTTGCAAACATATATTTATTAGTGTTTGCTTGTTTAACGTCTGCCTGTCCCCCTGGACTGTGACTCCGTGAGGACAGAAATCTTGTCTGTCTTGTTAGCGGCTGTATACCCAGCAGCCATAGAGAGTGTTGATAGAAGGAAGGGAGGGTGAGAGGGAGGGAGGAAGGTAGGAAGGGCCATGTTCTCATGTTGTAACTGCTACTATCCAGGTGACCCTCCCTTCCCAGAGAGCGCAGGGAGATGGTCTCTTTGAATGTGCATCCAAATCTATTCCTGTGTAATCGAACTCAGGTGAACACTGGGCAATTCTGCACTGTGACTTCATCCCCTGCGGAATCACCCTTGATAGCTCTTTCTTCATTTTGGCTTCCTAGTTCTTGATTTGTGACATGTCATTCCTTGTAATTTTTCCCACTTAGTATTTACGTTTTTCTTTTTCATGTTAAAATAGAAATATTTCTTATTCAAGTTTTACTCATTAATTTACAGGCCATTCTTTTTATCAGCTCAGTAATCATATTTTCCAGATCTATTGTAAGTCCTTATTGTTCTCATAGCTTCATTAACTATAAATTGAAACTAAACAGAGTCTCAGTTGTGTAACATCTGAATCTTAGTCTTGTTCAGGAAATAATTTAGATAAAAATAACCATTGTATATTCTGAATGGGGTATGAATGAAGGTACCACAGTTTATAGAATTTCATTCTATTAATAACTTGAGCGTTTCCTGATTTGTTTCTTTCTGATGCTAATAGAAATCCAACCTTCCACTCCCATCCACCCATCTGAACTCGCTGTATCTGAGCACTTGGACTCTGAGGAGAGGGCCTCAACTTCTGAAAGCTGCCATGATTCCCAGGGGGCTGCCTCTCCAGGATCTTGCCTCAAGGAGACAGAGCCGTTCACAAAGGTATTTGTGTTTGCAGGGAGAACTCTTCTCACATTTAAAGTGGCCTGAAAGCATCACCCTCTGAACTTAGGGGGAGCGAGAAACAACATGAATGGCACAACGGGGAGCATACTGTGCTCCGTGAGGGGTTCAGGGAGTTGTGCTACTGGACCTGCCTGGAGAGGTGGTCTGGGGCTCAGAGCTGTGGGCAGGGGCACACCCGAGCCGCTGGGGGCTGGTTCTCAGCAAGCGCCAGCAGCGGAGCTGGTCTGGAGGGAGCCTGGGGACAGAGAAGCAGAGGCTTTGGGCAGGTTTTCCAGGCCTGTCAGGGAGGGAGGCAGCCTGGGTCTAGAGGACGGAGGGCCCAGGCCTGCGCTCGCCTTCAGGCCCTGCCTGCCATACTGTTACCTCATCCTGGGCAGCTGAGAAGTCCTCTGGGGACCAGCCCAGCTTCCTGGGCTGTGGCTCCTGACTCAGCAGGGGACAGCCGCTGGACAAAAGTGTGCCAGGCCCTGGAATGCTCCCCTGACCCCCTTCTCCCCACAGTCAAGGAATACGCCTGCCTTCAGGTCTTCTCTGCCTGTAGTGAGTCAGGCCCTAGGCCCTGGCACCACCTGGGAGAGCGGATGGGAAGTGGTGACCCTGACCCTGCAAAGGTCATATCCAGACACAGGGTCAGCGCACAGCCCCTTGGGAAGCCCTGAAGAAAAGCCAGCTGCTGTCTTCCTCCCTGCTTCTGCTTCCTTTTCTTTCCCTCCCCTCCTCCCCCCTTCTTCTCTACTCCCTCCTACTTGCTTGTCTTCCCTTTGGGAGTTCCCTTCTCTAGGCCTCTGTCTTCCTCCTCTATTCTTACCTTTCTCTGTCTTTCTGCCTGTCTCCCCATCAAATCTGCTTCCTGTGAACATTTGGTCTTCTTCTTCCTGGGGCAATAAATAAAACCAAGGGAGAAAAAGGCAGTGAGGAAGGTGAAGGGGAAGGCCAAGGTGTGGGCCACCCAGTTCCCACCTCAGGCCTACAGAGTGCAGGGACCAGGCAGTCCTGGGAGGGACGCTTGGGCCAGCAAGGTCAGCCATTCCCGCCATTTGCTGAGAGCGACGGCATGACTGCAGATGAGGACAAGAAAAACTGAATCTCCTAAATGTGGGTAAGGAAAGGCTATTTGGCATCATGAGTAATTTTGACGACTGACCTGGGGCAGAGAGGTTAAAAGGCTGGTGTTGGACTTTCGCTGTCAGCCATGAGGACTGGACTTGCCCTCCTGACATGAACAACAAAACGTATGAAGTGACTGTTTTCAGCCATTGGGTAGCATGGGACTGTAATTATTGAGAGAAAGGAAATATATGATGTGAGGCCCACATTTGCCTCAGATTTCACTCAGGTACTTCCCAGATGGCAGAGATCAGCGTCCTGGGTTGCTGAATTGGCTAAAATGTGAGGGGCAGGATAGTTATTAGGGGCCAAATTGTGTGTCTCTTCTCCTCCCCCCTCTCTTTCCCTCTCTTGCACGCCGCGTGCATTTACTTGTTTGAACTGGGAGTCAAATGACATGAGAGATCTAGATATGAATGAAATGTTCGTGTTCCCCCCCCGCCCCAATTCACATGTTGAAGCTCTAACCCCCAGTATCTCAGTATGTGACTGGCTGTATTTAGACCTCGGCCCTTTAAAGAGGTGATTACGTTAAAATGAGCCCGTTAGGGTGGGTCCTAATCCAATCTGATTGGTGTCCTTACAAAAAAAGGAAATTTGGACTCACAGACACCTTGACCTTGTACTTCCAGACTCCATAACTATGAGAAATAACTGTGTGTGGTTGAAGCCACTCTGTCTGATGGTTGTTACAGCCATCCTAGCAAACTATAATAATACAACAGCAGACAGCAGGGAGCTGGGCTGAAAGAAGACGGCGGCTTCTACAAGGGCTCCCATGGGTGCCTGGCTGAGCACTGGGCTGCTATTCTCCATACAGCCCAGGAGAGAGGGGCTGCTGCACAGAGTTCCCGCCGCGGGGCTTCAAGACCGAGCTGCATTCCAGCCAACAGGAGGGTGACCTCAGTAAGTACTCTGAGCATTCAGGAGTGACCTCAGAAAGGCAGCACCTTATGCGTACTAACCATGGCTTTGAGTAAGTGTCACATTCTAAGGTCAAGGAAAAAAACCATAGTGAAGAAGAAAACTAGCCTGCCAAGATCAAAAAGATCCACTTGTAATTTAATATCTACCCAAACTCAACACCCTTTAAAGAAAGAAAACGCGCGTGCACACACACACACACACACACACACACACAAGAAAACACAAACTAGACTCCCTATGATGTCGCTTCCATAATGTCCAACATGCAATGATAAAAAAACATTTTAGACATGAGAAGCAGCAGGATAGTGTGACCCATAATCCAGAAAAATAGACCCGTAATTGTTTATTGCAAGCCAACACAAACAGGTCCTTAAGTAACAGAAACGTTAGAATCAGTAGACAGGAACTTTTAAACAGTGATCATAAATATGTATGTTTAAGGAACAGATGTAGAATTTTCAGCAGAAGAATGAAAACGATAAAAAAAGATCCAAATGGAAATTCATAAACTGAAAGCTATAAGAGCTAAAGCAAAAAATTCACTGGATACCAAACTTAACACCAGATTGGAGTCTGCAGAAAAAAGGGTCATTGTGCTTAAGACTAGATCAATAGAAATTATCCAACCTGAAGACCACAGAGAAAAATGATTTTAAAAAAAATGAATAGACTCACTGACCCATGGGACAATATCAGGTAATTTAATATAAAAAGATCAGAAGGAAAGGTGGGAGACAATTGAGCAGAAAAGAATCTTTTCAAGAATAAAGGCTAAAAGTTCTCCAAATTTGGCGAAAAACATCAACCTACCATTTAAGAAGCTACATAGCTTAGAGTAGTGCCCTGACTGGGGTCTGGGGAGGAAGAGGAACTGGGCAGGCGCCAGGCAGCCGGAGAAGGCTGGTAATCTGGGGGTGAGGGAGGGAGGGTGCAATGGACCCCAGGCAGGGAGAGTGTGAGGGGAGAAAGGAAGGGCTGGGGGGAGGGAGAGTGGAGGGGTTAGGGAGAGAAGAAGAGGTGAAAGAGAGGGGAAGGGGAGAAGGGGAGGGTGAGGGGAGAAAGAAATAGGGAGGGAGAGGATCAGCAGAGCCAGCCTGGGCTCAGAGAGTTCAAAATGACTGTCTCTGAGGAAGGACACACACGCAGCCATGTTGGACCACCGAGAGCAGCCTCAGGGCAATGAACCCTGCAGAGCGCACAGCCAGTGCTTGAGGAGTGGCTGGGAAAGGAGAAAGATGGAAGGCAATGAGCCGGAGGCACTTTATTTTATTTTTTTAGAAGTTTCCTGGTTGACAGGAAGAGATGAAGACAGACTGTAGCAGCTGAGGAGGGTGGTGGGTGAGACCTGTTGTTGTTTATAGGTTGTGGGAAGCAGGCGGCATAGAAGGAAATGTTTAAAGACAGGAGAAATAGCAAGCAATATTTTTTCAGTCTAGTAGGTATGGGGCCTAAGGCCTCAGGGAAAGTCCCTTGAAAATACCCACACATTGTGAGGAGAAACAGAGAATATGATGAGTGACGCTTGACATGGTGAGAAAGGCGGTTGATGGAGCTTGGTTCTGAGAAGACGTGGGACAATGCATGATCCATTCACATGACAGCTCACACTAACACAATAGCAAGTAAGACACATAACGTTATGTGTTCTAGACACACACATTAGCCCCACGGCTGCCTATGAGAGAGCAACTATTATTTTGCTCATTGTTACTGATAAAGAAATGGAAGCAGGGGCGGCCGGTTAGCTCAGTTTTTGGTTAGAGCGCAGTGCTCATACCACCTAGGTTGCCGGTTCGATCCCCTCATGGGCTACTGAGCTGCGCCCTCCACAACTAGATTGAAACAACTACTTAACTTGGAGCTGATGGGTCCTGGGAAAACACACTGTTCCCCAGTAATCCCCAATTAAAAAAAAAACAGCAAAAAAAGAAACAGAAGTACAGGGAGGTAAGATAAATCTCCCAAGGTTCCCTAGCTAGCAAGGGGTAGGGCTAGGATTTGAATCCAGGCAGTGAGTCTGGCTCCAAAGTCTCCCTCTCAGCCATTACACTGTGACACCCGGAAAGGAATCTGGCTTGGCCACTGGCTAACTCTGTGGCCTTGGGGAGCTTGATTGGCCTGGAGGAATGCAGTCACTGCTGTGCCTACCATTAGGCCTTGCTGTGAGAGCAGGTGGGAACACCCTTCATGAATGAATGCCTAAGCCTTCATCAGAGGTAACTTGGGGTTCTTATTGATCAGGAGTTTTCCTCAGGAGTAGGGGACCGGCAGAGGGCTCCAGCCTCTATGTGGGGACCATAAATGGGAGAGACAGAGGGAGAGGTCCAGCCAAGAGGCCCTGTGAGTGGAGCCCTTAGATTGGAACCATCCTGGGTTGGAGGCGTCACCCATTTATGCTCAGAAGTGGTAGGAGAGGCAGACAAGAATGGGGAAAAGTCTGATCGAATCACAGGAAGAAAATGATGATTTTTGTTATGAATTACCTACTCTGTTCTATGCACTGTGCAGGGTACTTCCCTAAACCATCTCAATGAATCCATCTTCAGAATATAGCTATGGAGGAAGTATAGTTATTCCCATTCCATAGGTGAGGCAGTTAAGGCTCACAGAGGTCAGTCGGGAAACTTGCTCAAGGTCATACAGATGGTGAGCGGCAAGGGTGGGGTTTAAATCCAGATGTTTAACACCAGAGCCCATGCCCTTCTCAGACTCCTATGCAGCCTCGTGCTAGGACTGGTGTGGCGGTTACAGGACTAGAGGAGGGGGTTAGAGGAAGGGGTTCTAGGGGACTAAAGGGGCTTCCCAGACATGAACAGCTGGGGAGAGGCAGACTGTAGCATGAGGAGGTAAAGGAAACCCCCTTTCCCACTTGCAATGTGACCCTAAAGTGATGGCTCCAAAAAACTGGGGCCATAGACCCCATTTGGGAAGCTGATCAGAGCTAGACTCTCACCTCAGAAAGGATGTCCACATTTTTTCATGATATTAGGAGTTCACCCAAATCAACAGACCCAGGCAGGGGCTGAGCCAAGGCCTGGCTCTGCTGCCTGATGCTTTGGCCAGTCCACTCGGAGCCAAGCTCACGCTCATCTGCTTCAAGCCGCGATGACAATAAACAGTTTGATAAATGCATTAGTGCACGTGTGACACACAGAGCAATTCTCCCTTCGTGATGAAGGGCTTATTCTCTCAGCGGCTGGGAATGCTGCCACCCTGACAGTTCCCATCCCTCTTCCAGAACTGTCCTCCACTGAAGATGGTCACCTTGCCCAGTCATGTCTCCTTCCCAAGGTAAAGAACATCAGTGAGTGATGGGGGATAGCTCTGAAGAGCCCTCCCAACCCCGGGTGTCGATCTTCAGAGCACTCTCTAAGAAACCTCCCGTAGGCCACCGTCCCTCTCAGAGCCAGCTTCTCTGAGAACCCGACCATTGAGACATGGACTCTCTCTTTTAGTCACAACAGCAGCTGGCAAGGGTTCTGTAGGCTACAGATTAAGGAATGTCATCCCCCTTTTTATTGGCAGGTGAGAAATCTAAAATTCAGAGAAAGGATCATTTGCCCAAGGTCATTAGAGCTAGCAATATTACAGTTAGGATTTGAACCCAGTTCACCAGAAGCCATAGTTGTTACATCCCTCTTTCATCTGTAAGGTGGGGGCAGCCCCAAAAGAACAGGCCAGGATGGGGAGACAGGGCCTGGGCCACTGAGGAAAGGAAACAGAACCCTTGGTCCTAGCAGGGTGCTCCATTCCTGTGCTCCCCGGCTGGGGAGGGTGTTCAGGGTGGACACTTTCCCTAGCCACCTGAGGCTGCCTGCAGCAAGGAGGGGACAGGTGG